GATACCAGCAGATTACAGTTGTGCTACCTTTTCATGTAGGTGGGCTACCTGTCTTTGACTAAAATCACTTCCTTTCCAGATGGCAATTGTAACATGAACTCTCTCCATCTGTCTATAAGAAAATAACTCGTTAGCTGGGCAGGTCCATAAGTGTTTAGATTTGTATTAAACTGTATAGAAGTAGAAAGAATATTAATAATAACGTTCCCCATGGCAGGGCAGGAGCGCGTCTGCTGTGCCTTATACCCCTTATGGCAACGAGCAAATGGACATTGCTTCTCTTCTGCAGCACCAGGACTGACTGTTGGCTTGGTGGCTCTAATACAGAGGAAACCACATTTCTGGATCAGACACATGGATGCACTCAAAATGCCTGGGAAGGGATGGGCATCCCAGAATGGGTTTCTCAGAAGTCCATAACTCTTGAAGGTAGCTGGTAGCAGGCTGAGAGTGGAATGAACTCTTTAATAGTAAAGTGCTTAGTGGAACAAAAACTGGAACCCCAATTTTCCTCTCATCCTTTTCTCACTCTTCCCTCTAGCTGCTGAATTTGAGTATCATGCTGTTGTTTTTTTTTTTTCCCTCTTACCTGATTATTGTTAGAATTTGCAATGGGCCTGGTTTCTGTCTTCTAATACAGGTCAGAGTAGAATGTGCTCAGTGACTCAGCTGTGACTGTCATACTGCTAAAGTTGATGCAAATCTTAGTCATCTGCTTTTCTTAAGGCAATTTTGATGAGTATAGTCTTGAACTAATAGATACCTAAATACAATAGCTCTCTATTCACTAGATAATTATTTTTTATTCTAATAAATGTATTTCCAATTTACTTGTTACATGACAGTTGGGTTCCTCAAAATACTATGGGAAGTCCTGTGTTAGGCATAGTAGTTTGCAAAGTCAGCTGCAATGATAGAGATCTTTTTTGCTTATCCATTTTGGATTTCTCTACTTTTAATTCTTTCTGGTATGTATGAAATTTTTAGCCTGTTTTATCAAAAGAGCTACAATAAAAACCCTGAGACGAAACTGCCTGATGTAATCTTTCCTGAGCAGCCTATTACATCAAATAGATATGAACATGTTGTGATATCATCCAGCATTTCCCATTATGTATGACAGTATGTAATTACAAAGGTTGGTATTTCCAAGGAAACCCAAATTGCCCATGAGCACATATTCCACAGAAACTCAGCAGACCCAGTGGTACTTTGATTAGGACTTTTGATAAGTTCTGTTGATTCTACTGCAGAGGTAGTTAAGGATGATACAGCTCCAGTTGCCCATACTAAATTTGGTGGTGATCAGTGGTCCCTCATGAGGTTTGGCAGACCAACACAGTTACTTTTATCTCAGTTGTTTCATTGAGTGTGGACATTTTATATATCAGGTTTCATGAGTTGCAAGGGCAAAAGACTTAAACATTTAAGTGTATCCCCCTTAAGCCTAAACCACAACTGTTCATGTTACCAGAAATTGTAGGTCAGGAGCTTTAAAGAGATCAGTTATGTCTTTAAAATGGATCAAAGGCTGGGTGTTATTATTGAGAGTGTTGGCTTTAGTACTTGCCTTAGGCAAAGAATGAATCAACACCAGAACTATGGTGAGCACCTGAGTTTCTGGCTTCTCTTCATCTCACTTCATCTCACCTGTTGGTCTTACCTGAAATGAGCATGCTCATTTTATAGCCACATAATAATTTTCTAAAACACTGTTTACACACCTTACATAACTAGAGTGGTCTATAATAATACTAAATTGCTTTTATTACTATAATTTTGTATATATGAAAATAGTTTGGCTGGAAAAATAGCCGTCTGTTGGGGTCCAAATTTTTAGCATTATCAGAAGGCTACATTTTTAAAAAAGGAATACTTCAAATATACATAACCTTTTAAAAATGCTTCTAAAAATGCTGAGAGTATATATATTTATTATACTCACATACTTTATAAACATTTTGAGTTTTATTTGTTTTGTTTCATATGCATTGCCTATACAGTGGCTTCCTCACAACTGAATCTCAGTCTGCTTTGAAAGGGAACCATCACCTTGCAAATATTCTTAGTCCTACCTATAGAGTTTATAAACCTTTTTTGTTAAGAAACAATGCTCCAATAAAATCTGTAGCATAGCCTAGGCCGCCCAAGGTTCTATTCCAAATCAGGCATTAAAGGACTGGAAAAGATTGAGGGAAGAGTAACAAGCATGATCAAAGGTACGGAAAAGCTTCCATAAAAGGAATCGGTAAGTAAGCTGGTACTCTTTAGGCTGGTGATCATACTTGGAGAGTTATAATATGAAAATGGTAATTAAGAATAAATTGTTTACATATTTTCCAATACAAAAACTAAGGGGGTAATTGAATGAGATAAATGGATGACAGGTTCAGAGAGGAGATGGTTTATGCAATGTGTTATCTATGCAACTACGTGCCATGCTTATCATGTTATAGGTAGTCTGTTACAGAAACACTATTTTCTATTTCTATCGAACCTGCTGCTCAAGTTAAACTATTTCCACTTCCCATTCATTGTATTAAAGCTCATGTGGTGATCTAGCTGTGTTTGTATGTTGACAGGTACATCAATATGGCTTGGTAAGGATGAAATAACAAGCATCAATGTTCAGAGAACGCTATGTCTGGTGTCAGAGTCAATCTACTTTTGGAAAAAAGAGGTCAAAATCAGTTGATCTTGTCCATGCACGACAGAAGAAATTAAGTGACAGTAGGGTGATGGTTGTCTGCCAGCTAAAAGAACTGAGGGCCTGCATAAGATATATTAACTTACTATTGTTATCCGTACATAAAATGAGCTGTGCCACTAATGGATACAGACTCAACTGATGGCTCTAGTTTGGGACTTTCCAACAGCATTGTTGATTTGCCCTTGTAGCCTGGCCTGGCCTGAGACTTCTCGGCAAATCTGTTAACTTGGCAAAACAACTTTTGGTTTACAAAAGTTCTCCAGTTAAGTACTCAGAAATACTCAGTCTTGGCATCTACATCAGGAGTATGACTTGAAAACCTAGTATTTGTTAGTTATTATCATTTTCTGGGATTAAATCCTGTTGAAATTAACAAACCTAGGCACAGCATTTATACAATACTCTGTAATTAAAACCATCCAAAGTACTGGAACTTTGGCCTCTTTAAAAGCAACAGTGAATAAAGAACTCTTTCACTCATCAGCTCTGTAAATCCCTGCAAGCTTGTGTAGAAGTATAGAAATTACCTTACCAGTTCCAGCAAATCAGTCTGGGCCTGGGGTTTTTGTGTGTTTGCATGCTTGTCAAGGCATAACCTAGGCAAAGCTAATTAGACTTGTGGATCTGACAGTAGGGCTGATGTTGAATCTCATGTGCTCAATATGGCAGCAACAATAGCTCCTGCTGTCTCATCTGGGAATGATCAGATGTTAGTAATTTTTAAAATTAATTTTAAAATTACATTTAAGTAAAGTAACAGGTATTTGCAGAGCATAATCCATTTAGGCTCCTTGTGCTGAAGAAGTGATTAAGAAAAAACAGTTTCAGGGAATTCTTGTAATTCTTGAACCTTTGACATATAAAACAATAGATGGATAAGTGGATGTGTATTTTTATCTCCAGCTATTTCCTCGTCCCCAACAAAAGAAAGAAAGAGTATCACTACACATCTTGTGTGCCTCTTCTATTTTTTTTTGTTTCATTATAAGAGTGCTTTCATTTTCCTAGCAATTGGGTAAGGGTGAATAATGGGTGTCAACAATGCTTAATATTGAATACGTAACATTATGTGTATTTATTGCCGTAGTAAAGGGCAGCTTAATCCAAGCAAAAGCAATGTTTCACTGTCAAGTACCAGATCATGTAGTCAGGAAAACTGGCACTGACACCATAATTACAGTTTGTCCCTCTTCCCCCTCCCCCTAAAGAGAGGTTTGTTGCTGGTGGACATAAGTACTTTTGACAGAATTACTTGCATGACCAGCTAAAGCCCTTGCACAGAAATTCGCCTCGTAGCAGGTATACTTTTGATTTGACTGCACATTTCTTGAATGTTACGTCTTTTTCTTTGACATACCTAAGCTAATTTTAGACAGTCTTTGGCCAGCAAGTTTCATGTTCCAGGAGGTGAATTATGTTACTAATGGAGCACTGGAGTTTGCTCAGACTTTTTATACCTTATCCAGAGACTGTGGAGTTCACAGGCTGAACTGGCCAGATTGTCTCAAGAGTCTGACTTTTCTGTCAGGTGCTGGATCATCATCATTACTTCTTTTAGCTGGATTTTTATATTCACACCATATAAGTATTTCATCTTATCAGTTTCTGACTGAATTTTCAACCATATTTGATGGAGGGGAAGACAACAGAGGTCAAGACCTCAGAGTGCTCAGTGTTCATCAAACTATGTGTGAATTAGATCCATATAAGACAATAAAGTAAGTCTAGGAGAGACTGGCTTAATAAAGCCCTAGCCTCAGCAACACTTTTTTCACTGAACTCTGTCAACCTGAAATACAGATATAACATGGGTTGTAAAATACAATTCCTGCAAATAAATTTTGGAGGGGATCTTGACTTACTGAAACGTAAAATCCACTGGCATTACTACACTAAGATCTGATTCAGTGTCAGTGATTGCCTTTAGGAGTTGGTCAATAAATTCAGCAAAGACATAATCAGAGTAGGAATGTCAATATTAGTTATGTGAGACTTGGACATCCCAAACAGGTGTTCTCACCTGTTATTGATAATACCTCCAGAGGCTACAAACCTCTTACCATTTACAGTACAACTTAGGTTTGGCACACAACTCTAACTGAGGAAATACGTTTGCATAACAATGGCCTTTAAAAATTAAAGATGTATTTAATTCTTTGAGTTTTAGTGTTCCTTGAGAGCAGAACGTCATGTGGAAGGGGGTATTACAGGCATCTGTGTAGGAATGTAAAAAAATTCTAATCAGTACAGTATGAAAACATAATTTATATTAATTTTTGTCTCATTTCAGATGAAGTGGCTATCTGTCCTGCCCCAGCAGTGTCTTTTGCTGATGACATGTCTCCTACTGGCCTTGGAAGCTGTACCTATAGACATAGATAAGACAAAAGTCAAAGGAGAAGGTCATGTAGAAGGAGAGAAGGTAGAAAATCCAGTAAGTGTGAAGAAATTTATCTGCCAAGTGTTTTTCCTAATTGTCAGTAATCTGGGGGTAGGAAACTCCCTTTCTGTAATTTACATGTTCTTTACTGGAGTTACTTGCAGGAAGGAAACTAATGTTAGCCAGGATTGTCACAGGGTCTGCCATCTACTTACTACAGGGAGGTTCTGCTTAAATTTGTTCTTTCATTTTTTTTCAATTTGCTGCTAAAGGTGAGGTGGCATGTGGAAGGGATTCCCCAGCTTACAGTAGGAAGAACTTACTGTTCCACAGAGACTTTTTTCAAAGGACTGGGTGGTGGCCTAAGATATTCTGCTTGCTGATTCCAATTCCATGTTTCAAATATAACACTAATGAGTGAATTGCACTGTTTTATAAAAGCCACGCTATATTAACATGACATATGTTTGCATATTACATGGGTTCCTAAACAATTTTCTTCTCTTGTCAGTTGCTGAAACAAATGAATCGTAAGTTGCTATAGGGCAAGGATGCAACTGGGAAAAAACTAAGATATGTAAGACAGCATAATACCTGTGTTGCTGAGATTAGAGTGTCAGTTCAATAATTGTATTTAAACAGGGCTAAATGTTTGTCAGTATATTCTTTTCTCAATTTGACCTATTTTTTTTTTTCTTTAAGGATACAGGACTTTATTATGATGAATATCTCAGGCAAGTGATAGATGTCTTGGAAACTGATAAACATTTCAGGGAGAAACTCCAGACTGCTGACATAGAGGAAATAAAGGTAGGTTTGAAAAAAAGAGCTAAATTAAGGTTAATTAAATCCATCATCATGAGCCATATATGTTGTATTCTTTCTTTCTTTTTTTTCCCATACTCCTCTCAATTTCTGTGAACTTAAATTTAATTTTTACTTAATTAGGTATTTTACTAGATCTTTGCCTGTAGTTAAGGGACAGCAGAACTTCTGTTCATTAAAGAATATTCCATAGCATAAGAAACCCCAGCAACAACAGTCACTTGAATGCATAGTTTCTGCCTGCTGCCTATCTCCTAAAAAAGCTAGTTTCAGACTTTCTGCAGGTAGGTGAATCTTTATATACATCAAAACGGCTGCAATTGTAGCTTTCATGTGTAGTTGCCTCCTGAGTAATTTGGAACACTGTTTTGAACACAGAGGTATATTTGCTTTCTCAGACTAAGATAGTAAGTCACAAATGTATATGATGACATGGAAAAGAATTACAAGACAGATTTTAACATCTGGAGATATTGAGTTGTGCTAAGAAGTAATGTCGGTGTATATAGGAATAAACCAGACCTCTGTCTTTCTCTGCTGTTGTCCTGTCTTTTGTACCAATCCACAGAGACTATGTCCAAAGTCTTGGCCACCTTGTTGTCTTTTACTCTTTAGTTCCTGGCTCTAGGTGGTGGCTGTTCTGCATTCCCCCTTTATGAGCTAGAAATTCAGCAAGGGATAGGAAGGAAACAGCCTAAAGTGACAGACTTAAGGAGGAGATCCTGCCTTTTGTGTTTCCTTTAATCCCTCATGTTGCTGTTGGCAGCTTTCAGCTTCTTTTTCTTCTGTGCTCCATCTAGTGTAGCCCGTGAATATTGCTGTTCATTTCAAGGGTCTTGCAATACACATTAGTAGCTGTTGCTGTGTTTGTACTTTCCCTCAACTTTTACAGCCCTCATCGAGGGAATGTGAAGAACACAGCACTTTGTGTGTTTCTCACAGTTCTTTTCAATTAAGTTGAGAACATTTGATCAAGAAACTTGTCACAAACATTATTAGGCACTGCTCCTTCAAGGTTATGGTTTTGCTCTTTGGATCAAAGATAGAAATTAGAGCGATAGAAATTTGGAGTAAGATAGAAATTCTCTTTTCAGAAAGCTTTTAGGATTCCTTTCTGTTTCCATAACCATAGGCATAAAAATTTTGAATCTGCTCTTTGGAAAAATGTTGAGATTCTCACAGTGAGTGCCACAGTATTGCCAAAGACTGCCACTAGTCTGCTGTCTTGCAGCTCATGTCTAATCCTAAAAACTACTTTCTTCTAGTTTTTATACATAACTTCTGTTTCTCAACAGAGTGGAAAGCTAAGCAGAGAGCTTGATTTAGTAAGCCACCATGTGAGAACACGGCTGGATGAACTAAAAAGACAAGAGGTGGCAAGATTAAGAATGTTAATTAAAGCTAAAATGGATTCTGTTCAAGGTAAGAATACAAAATTTACTGAGGTGAGTTGTGGGGCAGTTGTGTTGGAGAAATGCCAAAGTTCATTAGTTGTGTTTTGTTTGTTGTCAAAAATAATAACTAAGCTGAAAGTGAGTGTCCTTTCTGAGCTGGCCTAGAGCCAGTAAAGACCTGTCTTTATAGGAAACTGGGGATAAGAGAAGAGCTATCTGTGTTTTATAAATACCTAAACTTCTTCCTGTCAGTGGATTTTTCACTGACAGAAACAAGTTCAGTTATTTATAAATAAATACATTAGATACTTATAAATAAAATTTTTAGATGCTTCTAATTGTTTTTCAGCTTCTTTTCTATTTTGTAATGCATCAATTCATAATTACTCACTGAGAACAGTAACATAGTAGGGCTCTGTTTAAGAACACATGACACAGCATTTCGTGTCTTTACAAGGTAGAAAGTTTATTTTTGGACAGTCAGTTAACATGAAAGTTTTCCTAATTGTCTTGCTTTAACCCCCTTTCCACTAGTTAGTTATTGTACAGATTTAAAACAAACATTAAACATTTATATTTAGAGGATTGTTTTTCTTATTTGGGGGTCAGTTTTTTAATTATTCCGGTCACTGCATGTTTGTGTAGGAAAAGGTGCTATCCCTTTTTATTTCTATTACTGAAGAACTTTTAAAGTATGCATTTAGAACTAATTCTGTAAATTTCTTATTAGTGGTTTCTTTTTGAAGAGATTTAGTTGCTCATAAACAAAGATCCTAATGATGGATTCCGTGATCTTGTTTCTGAAACAGTGTTTTCACAAAGAAACTCTTCTAAAAAGGGCTCATTATTTTATTATTCTATTATTAAAAATCTTAGCAAGTCATGGGGAAGGATCCCATGGAATTGAATGCATGGTGCTCCTGTTGCAGACGAGCAGTCCAGGGACATCATGATGACATTCACAGTGAGCCAGGTGACAGCAGCTAATGGTTGTGTACATAGTAATTTTGTGTATCTTAAAGTTTGATGGACTGATTACATCAAGCCCTCTCTACTGTCCTAAATCAATAGTAACTAACAGAGTGTGCTTTAGAAAAATATTTCCCCCCGGCAGCTCAGATCTGTTACCAAATAAATGTGAGATCTTGCATTTGGGAACAGATTATTGCAGTTCAGAATATTCAGGTGACTACTAAGACGTGAAAACATTTTGTAAAGTTTACAGTCAGCTTTGCCCATGAGTACTTCACATCATATACAAGTATGGCCGGATTACCTACAAAGAACAGCTGCATCTACATGCCTAGGCAACATCTGAGAATAGGTACCAGGAGCATTCTGTAATAACAGCAGGCAGAACAGTTTGGTTTCCTTTTATTTGTTCTGGTAATCTTTGCCCCAGAACACCACTTAATAGCTTAGTCTTCTGTCTGATCTAAAAAAAGAATAAAAAGCATACAAATGCCCCTGCTTTTTCCCTCTCTGATGGATCAGATTTATAAAAAGAAATCCCAAACAAATCTGAGATTATATTGTGCATATATTCAGTTCTTCATCCAGATGCGTTTTTAAATATTTTCACCAAGATCCTACTAGACTGATCAGTACAGGATAGAAGAATGCTGGGGGTTGGGTCTCAGATAATACAGTAATGTGGCAAGTAAATATTGTCAAAAAGAATTAACCTTTTCCACTAAGTATAAGAAATGGAGGAAAATTGGTTTGGGGGCTGGGTTTTTTTGTCGTTTGTTTGTTTTTCTTAAGTCTAGTATTACACTTGTGAAAATGTTTCAAAACCAGGCAAAGGCACATATATCTCAACAGAAATCATGATCTCACCAAGGAGGAATGATGGCTGAAATCTGCCTTGGCCAGTGTTTGCTGTTTCGTGATAATACAAACACAACATTCCATGTAAAACAGACAGTTTTACACTGTCACACAAACAGAAATTCTGTTTTTTCTTTTTTTTTTTTTTTTAACAAATAAAATATTCTTTGCTAAGCCATCTAGTAAAAGCTTGTCACAAGTGTTGCACTTAACGTATCAAAGTGTGTGCTGCTTAAGAGAGCATTACTACCTAGCATTAGTGTTCAGAAGCCATGGTAACAGCTAGAAAAGCCTGTGGGTAGGAAAGCCTAGAAATGTGTTCAGTTGAGTTTTTTTGTTTTTTTAATGATGCTCTTGGGTGTCACCCCTGTTATAAGGAAGAGAAATAGCTTGCAGCTTTTAGACAGAAGACCCAACTTTCCACTGTCTTGCACTTCTCTTTTTCCACAAATGAAATCTGAATATCTGCTTCTCTGATTTGCTATACTTTTATACCATATTGTACATAAAACTTTGGCCAGATCTAAGTCATTTGTAAAATGTACAGGGCGGTAGAAGAGTTGGATTTTTCCCGGTTTGGGTAAATATTCAAGTTCTTAGCTTTGATACATCATGACTTCAACAATCTCATTTATATAAAAGAAAATAAATATTTTTCTTAGTTTATGTAGCTCAAATTGATTGTACTTTTCCTTGCTGAACCACAAGCCTTAATTTGTGCATGTGAAATTACTGTGTGCAATGCAACACTGACACATCAGAAGGGCTGTAGTGCAAATCGCCATTAAGTTTGCCAACCTCCTACAGGAAAAACAACTTTAGAAATTTTGCTATACTTTCCTCCAACAGTGAAAAAATTATCCAGGCCTCAGGGAGCCTGAGGTACTTACAAGGCACAAGCTCCCATATGAAAAACTTTAACTTCTTGATCTCGCTGGATTTCAAACTTATTTTCGTGTTTTGCACGTGTACTTTATTCTTTCAGACACTGGCATAGACCATCAGGCTCTCCTTAAGCAGTTTGAGCACCTGAACCATCAGAATCCTGACACCTTCGAACCTAAAGACTTAGATATGCTGATCAAAGCAGTGAGTGCCAGATATGAACTACTATGGGGGATTTGGGGTATTATTTATTATGCTTTTTTCCCTCTGGTAAAGGCAAGTCCTTTCTCATATACCACTTTTTATAAATGACAGGCAGTTTTCGTTTTCAGAGAAAAATGAGTTGTCTCCATGCACACTGGAAAACTGTTGTCAGGTGTGCATTATGCTAAAGAGCCCATAAACCTTGGGATGTCATATTATCAGGACTTGCATTTATATACACCTACACCTACAAAAAATACACCTTTCTGGAAGTCTTTAAATTAAATACAGTTTAGATAGGGGTATGTTTTTTCCAAGTGTATTTTCTGATTTCTATTCTTAGATGATACAGTAGTCTCACAGAATTACATGAGTAATCAACCCTAACCTAGCCATATGAATTTTGGGTTCTATTATATATATATATGTCAAGCTGCAAAACCACAGCAGAGTAGAATTTAAGATACCAGTATTAGAAATTGCTTACATTGGGCATGGCATTCAGTGTCTCTTTAGCAGATTCAGTATCAGTCACAGGTGTGGGGCTTTTTTTCAGTGCCTGTTTATTAAGGGGATGTAGTTAAGCACTGCGTGGCTTTTTTTCAACTGCTAGAGAAAAATACATTTCCCAAGGGGAAAACTACTGCATGCCCAACATGACAATTTGACAGATTTGATATTTTCAAAATAAATCGAAAGGTAATCTATAATTCTAGCTTCCTGTAATTTTTATGTAACTTTTTTTACCCTTGGAAAATTTTATCTCCATTTTCTGTAAAATTATTTTTATAGAGATATTAAAATTTTTCTTGCCATTTCTGAGCACCACTTCTGGGAAAATTCTGGTTGGCTAGGAGATGCATATCTTCAAGCAGTTCTTTCTTTTATTATGTATTTTATTGGTTTGTCTCTTCATTTCTCAGCCAAGATATTGACAGAGTGTAATGGGCATTTTAAGGGGTCTTTGTTTTGCAATTGTTTTTTTTTTGAAGATACAGTGAATCTGAAAACTATGATGTAAATCATGGAGAAACAGTATGAGGTGTAAAAATGAACTTTGAAAGGCACTACCAAAAAACCATTTGGCCTGTGTGAAAACAACATATCATTAAACTCTATACAATATTTGTTAAAAATTCTCCCCTCACTTTCACCCTGTCTCTCCATATAATTGTTTTATATTTTATTTAATCTGCACAAAGGTACTGCAAACTAACCCCCACTATTAGTGAAGGCACTTTTTTCATTACACTGTGGGATAAACTACATATGTTCTCATTTTGAAGTAATCAAGGAGTTAATGGTACTATTAGAGTGAGACTTACTTGAGTTCATTTATTACTAACAGATGAGAAAGGACACCTTGCTGCCTTCATATTGTACTGTGCAATTGCAAAAATTGTCTAGCAGTTGAACCCTTGCAAATTAATTTCTGTGAAAATAACAGAGGGGTGATGTTTCTGCATCGCTGTCATGTGAAAGGACCCCTCCCAACTAGTCCACCCCGCATTTAAAAGGAGAATGGCAGAATGGCCAGCATTGCCCACGGAGCTGAACAATACAGTGTTTGATGTCAGAGGTGGTACACAGTCATATGGCATAATCATATCTGCATGTATCTGTATTTTTAGGCTACAAGTGACCTGGAAAACTACGATAAGACCCGCCATGAGGAGTTTAAGAAATATGAGATGATGAAAGAACATGAGAGGAGAGAGTATTTAAAAACACTGGATGAAGAAAAGAGGAAGCGAGAAGAATCCAAATTTGAGGAGATGAAGAAAAAACATGGAGATCACCCTAAAGTTCACCATCCTGTAAGGCCACAGCCTGTTTTTTATCTGACTGAGTGGAAGCCTTCCTTTCCAGAGAGAGAAAGCTAACACAGAGAAGGGTGTATCTTGTTTGTTCTCAGCATTTGCCTCTTCTCACTGACATGGGAGCAGAGCGTGGGCACAGTCAGTGCTGAGAGCATTACAAACCCCACTATACAAACCCCCATTTTTTCTGTACAGGTGTGCTATTTTCTGGCAGAATTCTTATTTACAAAGATGCTGAAACTCGTGAGGAATAAGCCAGAACATTATTCAAAACTGTAGGGATGCCTTCATGGTGTGCCTGGCCTGCAAGGAACTGCATCACAGGACCATTTGCTCTGTAAAAGGCAAATTAATATAACTTCCTTCAGCTATTGTTTCGAGATGAGTCTGTATAGCTATGACTGATTATTACAGGTGCTTCTTTCCACAGAATATGCATTTCTTTGACACTCCCTCTTTCCCTGGGCCTTTCTGTCTAATGAATGTATTAGACCTGACCAAAAGGGGATTAAAGAAAATTCTATTGATTCCATTTGCCACGTGACTAACCAGCAAACAAAGTCTTTCAGAGAAACCATAGTGCAAAGGTAATGCAGAAAAATTACACTAAATTGTCTTTTGAATAGTTTTTTTTTAACCAATCTATAGGGAAGCAAAGATCAACTGAAAGAGGTGTGGGAAGAAGCAGATGGACTAGATCCTAATGAATTTGACCCCAAAACATTTTTCAAATTGCACGGTAAGAGGTTTAGTTTTAATTTAATGAACAAGTGAAGTTAATTTCTTTTACATTCTGCTGAGGACAAGTTTGCCATATGCCAGGATGAAGTCTTATACTTCAAGCAACTTGGATGAGTCTGAATAGTTCAGAGGAGAAAATACTTGTTATTGTTTGTTAGTTTCCTGCAAAGTTTTAAATGGAGCATAAAATTTGAAAACAGGGTTTTGTTTAACTACTCCTAAAATCCTACAGCCAAATACCAGGAGTGATTACTCAGGGAAGCATGGGTACTTGGAGGGCTGTCCATACCTATAACTTTGCTTGCACACTACATACTAGGAATAAATCCTCGGAGGTGTGTCTGTGATGTGGGAAAACCTGCTTTCTCTTCATCTCTGCAGATAAATACCAGACACCCCTAATCTTTGGAATGGCCATAGAAGTGCCAAGCCTCTTCAGAAGAGGTTTATCCAGATTCTCTTGATAAAACAAAAACCAAAAATGCCCCCTAATCCTGCCGCTGTGTTTCTGAGCAATGTGCAGCTAGAAACAATAAGTAGTAGAAGTAGCAGACATGAGGATGCATCTCAGTGGACATTTTCCTTTAAATGTGATTATATCATCTTGTAACCTTAAATTGTGGTATTGTTAAATGCTTCATCATAAAGTACCCCTAAGTAGATCCTGTGTGGCACTAGGTTGCAAAGGGTTGAACAATATATTTGACTGACTAATCCCAAAGATGATGATTTAGTTAAAGAAAAGTATTGTAGTTTGAGTCTGAACTCTTATCTTGGTTTATAAAATTTATAAATATGTATTATAGTTATTAAATCTTGTTTCTTCTTTCTAGAAAGAGATTTCGAAAGAATTTTCTGAAAATTCTTGTTAGCTTGTTTGTGCAAATCCTACCAAAACACAAGTAGCTGAAACAACCTTTTGCCTTAGAGCTTAGTATTTAAAAAAACTTAGAAACCATTAAACAAAAATATTACATAATACCATACATTTGAAGTAGACATTCAATTTCAGAGGTTGTATAACAATATTCAGAATACAACGCAGGATAAAAGATGGATCATTAGTTATCAAGTCTTGTCCTCTCGGCATTTGTAATGAAAAGTCATTTTACAGTTATTTTAAGTGCTGCATATTTATATAGATTTTCACATAATTCTTTAGGTTTTTTGGAGAGTCATACTGTCAGTTAACAAAGCTTTTCTGCAAAATTTGGGTGCTTCTGAGTCTAATTACAAATTTAGCTGTTAAATTGCAACAACTTGTTCTCAGTAATATTTTTTGGCAGTTGCACTCTGCACAATCCTGTGGTGACCTATTTCACTTTGCTAATCTAAGAAGTAGGGCTATTGCTCCAGACTTGTCCAACCAACCAAAAATGGCAGTATGCTTCAGCCAATGCCTGATAAAAATTCAAAGAGAAAATCAACCTTTGTAACCAGTTGCTTGTTAAATGAGGTTTTTAATCCACATGGGATGTGTGTGCTGATCCTTTTTTAACTCATGAAGGTCTATTATATGTGTGATTTTCTGTACCCACTCAACTTGCATTTTAACACTTGTTTTTGTAGATGTCAATAATGATGGTTTCCTGGATGAGCAAGAATTAGAAGCCCTATTTACTAAAGAGGTAAAAAAAATCAGAAGCTTAACTTCTTTTAGTAAATGGTTACAGGAATGTCTGTATTTTTTCCAAGTATATTTGGTGACTTTGGACTACAAAATAGCGTATTTATGCTGAGTTTTGTGCATCCTTAATAGTTCTACAAAAATGCGGAACCTATCAGCAGGCAAAATAAAGTAGTTGAAGAATAGGAATCAAACATCAGAGATCTAGTGCCCATGTATTTCTCTGTCACAGGCTTGTTTGAGATTTTATAATCTGCAGGATAGGTATTACCTGTATAAATTGCAATGCAGAGAGCTGCACTCCTTCTCTGCCTAGATGCAGCCTGGTAGAGGTTTTGAGATTCTGAAAATGTGCAGCTGTGCTTGTTCAGTGTTTTTCAACAAGTCTTATGGGAAAAAAGGGTCACACTTGTCTGACTTGGCTCAGGGACAGCATGCTGTGGAAGTGACTGCAGAAATTCTGTATGTTTTGTGTCTAGTTTGCAGCACATGTACTTCTGGGAAAGTAGACAGGCTCTTAGTTTCTTTAAGCCTCGGTTTGTTGTCATGAAAAGCAAATATCAGTGTGTCTTTGCCACCCAGAGGGGTAATGATGGCAATTCCAAAGATGGGAATCGCAGAATCAATAGGTAAATGAAGGGCATTCATCTTCATTTTTTCAGTAGGTTATGTTTTGGTATAGCAGAAAAGAAAGATAAATTTGCCAATCAAAGGTCCAGTACTATGGCTGTCAACATCTAGTATAATATTTTTTTCTGATTTAATGAGTCAGGGAGGAAATGTGCTATACAGTATATATATAAGCTTATAAATTCAAACTAGAGTAATTTTTTTAAAAACATGATTTGCAAATACAAATTTCTAACAATATTTCGCCATAACCCCCCTCAATACAGGGCAGTCTTTTTTGACATATGTCTCACTGTTTTGCAGGTTTTTCACTTTAAAAACAAATAGTCTGGGGTCTTAAAATTACCTGCAGCTAAGCAAGAGAAGCTCAATGCCTAAGAAAGCTAAGTAGAAGCAAATAAACATGGATTCTCCAGAAAGGCATTGTGCAAGAGGAGAAGTGGACCATTAAATTTAGCACTCAGTTTGTCTTGTGATATCCTAAATGCTTACAGGGTCAACTGCATGCTCTGGTAAAAAAGCTCCTTGCTCCCATTCCAGAAACCTCGTGGAACCTCTGCCTGCTTTGAATCAAATGTAGGGATCAGACTGTGCACACCGAGGTCAACTTTACTGTAACATCCACAGCACTGAATTGCAACAGACCACATGAATTAACTGAAAACTTCATTCTTAGGAAAGAAAGGCCCACTTGTTGCTTAAGTACTGTGCTGAAAGAGGAAAATTGCATACACACGCACACACACACACACACACACAGACTCTCTATTGCAAAAATGGTAAACTTACGTTTTTAACAGTCTCACATTGCTTTTCCAGATATTCTCTGTCGTTTGAATGAGCAGCCCTTTCTTCAAACTAACTTTTACTAATTCTGAATTTTAGCTAGAAAAAGTTTATGATCCCAAGAATGAAGAGGATGACATGGTTGAAATGGAAGAAGAAAGGCTGAGAATGAGAGAACATGTAATGAATGAGGTGGGGACTGATATTCATTAGAGCTGGTTTCCTTCTGTGTTCCAGAAATACCGTTCTACCATGAAGTGTTGTCCAAGTGCAGCAGAAAGGGATGACCTGTCACACTGCATGCTGTTTGTGCTGGGATTCACATAAAGTAACAATTCTCAAGCCCTGTCCCTGTATTTTGATGTAAATGCCTGCTGACTAGTTTTTGTTTAGGAAGTTCCAGGGAAGGAATTGTGCAATAGCCTCTGTCTCTTGCAGATACTGAGATGCAATAGAAGTTCCCTGTAAATTGTGTGTCAAACGGAGAAGAACTCGATAAATGTTCTTTGGTACTTGGAAAATGGTTAAGATTCTGGTGGATAGAGCAATGGCTTCTTTCATATAGCACACCTTGGTCCCTTCAGAAGATAGCTCAGAGCTCAAGGTATCACCTGTGACAGTGAATACCTTTACCAGACCTGATGGGTTTTCACCTCAGGAGACAGAGGAAAGGGAAGGGGATATTTTGAACCGCCGTGTTTTCCACTCATAATTTTTCTGTGTGCAACCATATTCCTTAAGCTTGAGGAACAGAGCAAGCCTGGTCTTCTATTAGTCATAAAGCGAAGTGTTTCCTCCCTTCCCCTTAAAGGATTCTGACACAATTCAGAACCTCCCCATCCAACAGTGGATATAATTTTGTGAGTCAGAGTAATTACCAGAAATCTACAGAACATTTTTCTCAAAAAAGTCATACATTCCACTGTTAGTTTTGGGGCTGTGAACACAAATGTTTCCAATAAAGCCAATGATTTTTGAAGTAAAGTGTGAAGATTTACTTTTTTATTCTATTTTTGTTAAGCTATATAAGCTTGTGAGAAGTTTTCAGAAGATGTTGTGGGTGATCCCTCGAAAATGGGACAGTTTAACAATTAAAATGGTTATATTTGAGGATATTTGTTTGATGAAATTAAACATTAGCTCCACCAAAACCCACCCATTAGGTTAAGTTTAATTTTTTGCTTCAAATAGGTTGACATCAACAAGGACCGACTAGTGACTTTGGAAGAGTTCCTCCGAGCTACAGAGAAAAAAGAATTTTTGGAGCCAGACAGCTGGGAGGTAATGAGAATGTGTTCCAAGTACAACATAGAGTAGCATTACCAGCACTCTACCAGGAAACCAAATGGCATGTCTGTGACCTTTGCTTTTTTTCAGTTCTGTGTTGGTATGTGTGTCGTTAAGCGCCTTAGCTAAATGTAACCTACAAATGTAGCAGCCTAATGTAATGCAGATGTGAGCTTTATGGGCCTCACACACACGGAAAAGGTCTGGCGCCACCCTGGGGATTCTAGGAGAGCTTTTCACACATGCTTTTCAAATGGAAAATTTGTTTATAAATCACTTTAAAGGGAAGATAAGAGCTCAGCTGGAAGCAAGAGGATAGTTTTCTCCTACTTCTAAATCTGTAGTAGAGTTTTGCAGACAAAATAGCTGAGAAATTACTATTTTGCTTTTTGCTGCGAGTGTACTAACCCTTTACAGTGTCGTGTCTTGTTCTGAGGGTTTTCAGATAAGAATTTCGTTGGGCAGATAATAAAAAATATACTTGTGTTCCTGGCTAAGTATTCACACTTGTATGTATTTTCTTGCAGACACTAGATCAGCAGCAGCTCTTCACCGAGGATGAGCTGAAGGAATTTGAAAATCATATTTCCCAGCAGGAAGATGAACTTAAGAAGAAGGCAGAAGAACTTCAGAAACAGAAGGAAGAGCTACAGAGGCAGCATGACCAGCTTCAGGCTCAGAAACTAGAGCTTCAGCAGGTACATGTATGGGGACAGAATATTTTTTTTCCCCTTTTCTGTATCCTTATATGTGTAACAGCTCATGACAGTTCCCAGCTCTGGAGAATTCTTTACCTTGATTTCTTGTAGGAGTCCCAGCTGAATTCTAAACTAATAGCACCACAGCAAAACATAGTCTAATATTCAGAGTTACAGCAAACAACATAAGCATCTCAACTCAGCCATTTACTCACTAAACAAGGCTTTACATAATGACTGCGAAATTTGTTACAAGTGTATTCATTTATGTCACATCAGAGAAAGCTCACGAATTTAAGTTTTTCAACTGTTGTATTTTATTTTTCACCAGGTTGTAAAACAGATGGAACAAAAGAAACTACAGCAAGGAAATCCTCCTGCAGGTCCAGGTGGAGAACTGAAATTCCAACCCCGTATGTGTCTTTCTGATAGATACACAAACTTTAAAATAAGATTTGCAATGTAAAAGCCATTACAACTATATTTTCTGCTGGAACTATTAACCTAATGCAATTTTAATGACCTCTATAGAGAGGTTCACTAAAGAGGCTTTAAGAGGAAAGTAGATAACTCTTCTAAAGTATTCCTGAAATCTCAGTGCTTTTAAATCCATAGTAAAGAAACAGAGTTTTAACACAAGACATCAAATAGGCAGAGAAGGAGGATTATCCTAGACCTATCAGTCTAAAAATATTGAGATCTAGGGTATCTAGGATTTCTGAGCATCCAAAGAAGAACAGGGACATACAAATGACCAGGTCTGTCTTACGTTCTGTGGCTGCATCGCATTCTCAGACCACAGAACAAATCAAAGCATTTTAATATTCTCAGTGGTCAATTTACCAGCAATTGGATGCAACATGACATGACAACGTAGCCTTAGACAATATGAAAGACCAATTGCTTCAACACCCTCAGAAGAAGGTAGTGGTATAATAAATCATTGCATTTGCTCATTGGTGGCAACAAAACAGCCAGATATATATTAGCACTTCTTATCTGTAACGGATTGCCCAGATTTCCTTTGTGCTTTAAAGGAGCTCTCTTGATATTCATCTCAAACACAGGCTTCAGATCTATTCAGGCATCCTTTTGAATACTAGAAGCTCTTAACTGCCCCTGCAGGGCCAACAGTGGGATTTCAAACCCCAAGTGTTGTATTCAGTGATGACAGCTTTGTTGGTACCCTGAAATTCTACCCATTGAGTTCCATGAAGGGAAATGATGAAATGTCAGAACCACTTTTTGTCTTTCATTTGCTTTGAATCAGCCTGTGGGTAATTTCATTTTACGATCCTTAGTTCTGAGAGCCTAAATTCCCCTCACCAGATGATATATTCTTTTGATACTGGCAGTATTGCAGCAGTTACTGTTCTTAACACATGTATTATTTTATGTAAAATCTTTCTGCAAAGTCATTTAATCAGGTGTCATAAGAATTCATTATATTAGCCAGAAATGGTCACTACTCATTCACTGAGTCAAGGAGATCCAAGTAGATAATATTTTAAATCCATAGGTCACTGGAGTTACTAAGGATACTTGAAGGAAAAAAGAAACCCAAAAATGCACCTGCAAGTTCGTCAGACTATGAAAATTAGTATTATTCAAGCATAGGCAAAGGCAGAACACTGTAAGTATTGATGCAGCAAGGAGTAACATATAGGAGCAAGTTCTTTAGTATGTCTTTTTCAAGCTTCCCAGATTGGGATTAAAGGTCCCATGAAACCATGGTATATTTCAGAAAAAACAGTCTTAAAAGAATCAATGTGTTATTGTTTAAAAATATTTCACAGAAAGCAGAAACAATTAGTAATCTAAGAGGAAACACTGAATAATAATGCAGTCTATTGGGTAATCTCAATCTGATACTCTGTTACTCACATAGAAAATTCTTAATTCCATTTGTAAACCAAAAAATAGAAGGTTTTGTTGATTGTTCCTATGATAGAAACCTTCCTTCAGAGGCTTTTCACATCTGGGGCCAATTTAATTGAGAAGTTACAAATGATTCTATTCTTGTTTTACAGCTGGGGAGCACAAAGTTGGAGATGCAGCAAAACATCCGGCAGGAGGTGATCAGCCTTTACCACCAGGACACGTCCAAGAACCAGCTGTTAGAACTGATCAAGTTCACGCTTAACCACTTGTGCCTCAACTTTATAGCATCTTTATTATTTGGGGTGGGAAAAGGGTGGGAGGGGCTTGGGGGTGGGTGGGCAGGAAATCAGAGTGAAACAAGAACTCTCCGCTCTTTTCCTCAGACTGTAAAATCATGGGAATGTTAGAGATAAAGTATCAATCAGGTTTGATATATAAATTAATTTTCTCTCCAGTACATCAGTGAGAAACACAAGGGGATCATCTAGAAGCTATAGTAGAAGAGGAAATTAGGGAAACCATTAATATTAAAGATTTTTATGGCCAGGGGACTGAGCTGTTGAACTCTGCTCTTACAAAGAGGGAAGAGATGTCTGCCATTCTGTGTTTAGGCGTGAATCAGAATCTTCTCAGAGAGGAAACAGGGAACAGGCCTGAATGTCATGTTAGGTCTAGTTTTATGTAGAAACTTTCCAGAATGCTGAAAAGCAAAAGATAGGGAAACAAAGACCATAGATAAAAGGCCTGCTTTTCCCAGCACTACCAAACCCTTTCTTCTTTGAGACCAAATAAAAATCAAACCTCTTAATCACAGAAAATTTGCACTTTCTAAAATTTAAACACGGCAAAGAATTATGTGGAACAGTGAATATTTTTCATGTTTACAGAAGCCTAAGAATTTCACTGTAAGCCTTCAAAAGGAATACTGTACTTCTAGTGCATTGATCTGAACCGTCCTCCTTGTTGAGACTAATTCTGTGTAGCAGTTGAAAGCTCAGCTGGCTCTTGGGACAATACTTTTGTCCCCGTTTCTTTCATCAGATGCCAGCTGATCTCAAAATTTTGCATGTTAATAAATAAGCTTTTTATGTTGATGGAAATATTGTGCAAAACAGAACAAGACTCTTTTTCTGTACAGATTATCCTACCTCCTACAATAAAACCAGATTTTTCAAAGTGCACCATGTGCTTCAGAAAGCTCTTCTCAGACATGAATCTGGGACTCGTTAAGGGTCTCACTGTTAACTCTCCTGAGTTTTTCAGCAGTTGGTCTAAGTTCATGAAGTGTCCTAAACCAGGGGTGCTACTTGATTGTACTATTTTGGTATTGAACCAGGATAGGTCCCTAGTATTGCAAGCCAAGATTTTACAAGACTAAGTTGATTTTCCTGTCAGTTTTACTATAATGCTGAAAATTTGTGTGACTGTCCTTGCTTTTCATTAGTTTCAAACTGAAAGTATCCTAAAGTGTAAACCCTGTTTGGATTTCTTTGTTTGCTTGGGTTTTTGTGTGTGTTTTTTTTTTTTTTTAAACATGGGTTGTTCTGACTGTATAGTGCTGGCTTTGAATGGATACACACACATCTCAGCTAGCATCCTTTACATTTCCTTCCTGTTCTAACTGCTGACAGTGGCATTAAAAGAGGTATTTTGGGTTTTGAGCAAAGAAACAGAAGCATGCCTCTGTTATAGAAAGATGTTCTTTTCAGAATAAGACTTGAATATTTTAGGCAAACTCAAAAAAGACAGAAGGCAATTGGTAACATTTTGTGTTGACATTTGGGAAGTTTCTCACTCTGAAGAACTGTGATTGACGGAAGCTAGGCACATTCCTTCCATGTTCAAGGCTTCTTTCATCAGACTTGGGCATATTCTTGTGCTCCACACAATATAACAGAACTCAGTGCCAGAACAGATTATGGTTCCTTATCTGTTTCATCTTGTTAGTTGTCATGTCACATTTCCTTCACTTATACCACTCAAACAGTTGGACTTCTTTTACCTTTTCTTCCGTTCTTTATGCAAGCAGTTGACATTTTTAGTTTCCAAAACCACTGTCTCCTCTGTTTGTCACTTCCATGCAGCTCTAACAACAGTTTGATTTTGTCTTTGTCAGGAGACTAAAATACCTTTCAACAGCCTCATCTGTTTGCAAAGAGGCCCAGACATAGTTATGGCTACATAAAGTTTCTCCGTGCACAGCCCTGGCTTTGAGGTTGTAGCCTGATAATGAGTAACAGGGTGAGGAGGGAAACCAAGAGGGAATTATTCAAATGTCATGGAAAAGGTGAGGGGAAATTTTTA